TATTTTGATGTATCACCAACAAAGAGTATGTTGCTAAAAATGTAGTTGATACTATTTAGGGTAAACAATAGCAACAATGGGTAGGTTGCTGAAAATGTGGATGGAAGTATAAAAATAAATATCAGCAACATGGTTTTTCTTGGTAAAAGTTGAAAATCAGCAACGTAACTTTGCTTGCTGAAAATTAGGTAAAATTCCGGTGCCGGTTTCCAACCATATTTCTCTCACTGAAACCCTATCTTCAACAACGTGGCTTATGTTGCTGAAAAGGGTGAGAAAATTCCCCCCTACTCTCACCGAATTCCGGTGAATATTTTCAACAACATAGCTTATGTTGCTAATATAAGATTTTGGTTAGTGATGTATTACCCACCAAGCCTTCTCTAGCAAGCAGACCCATGTTACTGCATGTTACTGAGACTTTCAGTAACATGGGAACCACTTTCAGCAACATGCTTCCATGTTGCTGAAGCTAAGGATTTTAGTAGTGAAAAACCTCCTACCCCTTTGCTTTTTATCTAGTTAAATGTCCTTAGTTGAATCAGCTCCAAAATCCTACCTTTATATATATGTTTTGTGTGTGTATGCCGTGTGTTATTAAACATTATATGTTATGCAGTTTCTTATGAACTTTCCTAAATTCAACATGAAGATTAACAACCGCTTTGTCCATATCAGAGATTTTTGCTCTGATGATATCGATAGGTGTCGACTCTGATAACTTGAATGTAAAAGTTCCGTCTATGCCATGCAATTTGTCAAATGCTATAGGTTATTAGAATGTGAACTAGTTAGGATTAGGACATTGAATTTGCCACATATGCCCCAACTAAAGGACAGGAAACATGCATCCATATATAGATCTTTACTGAACAACAATTGTGTGTATATATATATATTCTAAAACTACAAATTAAATATATAAAAGCACAATTAAACTGCCTTAATCATGTTGGTGGAACCCGTCAATTGTTGGACACACAATTTTTCTTTTTATTTTATTTCATTCAAATTGGTAATTCCTTTAAAAAAAGAAAAAAACTAAACCCCAGGACGGTTCTTAAATAGCCATTTACACACATTATTATTACTACAATATATAATGCAACCCAAAATGCAAGTAACCTTGAGTAGAGAATAATAATTAATGTAGATTCACGGTTCAGGAACAATGTTTGGTGGGCAGCCAGATTCATGAGAAAGCTTGCAAGTGGATGCATGCTATATTTATTGCGGTCAAAGAGGCAATAATACTAGAGTCATGTTTACAGTTGCCGGCATTTATCAGTTTGGTTGAATTTGAATCCAAGCCTACCTTCCTCCCCTCGCCTTGTTGATTAAGTTATGGCTTGAGATGGGCCAACACCAACTCCCCAAAATTTTTGGTCAATCTATCTGTCTATTCATTCATCACATGTTTATAAATAAAAAAAGAGTAAAAAAGTATAAATTTCTCGCGTTAAAGTAAATGATCATTTAAAAAAACTATTAATGTAATTTATTCATTTTTAAATTTTAATTTTAAAAAATTAATTCAAATTTAATAGTTAGTTAATTTATATTAACTTTTTTTAATTAAAGTTTAAAAATAATAATTTAATTGTCAACAACTTAAAATAATTTAATGGTAATTTTATTTTTTTGAAATAAAAGATAAATTCGAATCGCATCACATGCAAATAAGATTGGATAAAGAATG